AAAAGAATTCAGGCCACTTTACTCCCCTTTTTTTGGGTCAAGGAAGCTGGTGAAGATGATGAAAGCACTTTGCAGAAAAGTGTTGTGAAGTATGAGGAGCTGACAATTCCCTGCTTCAAAAACAAAGTTGCATTGGTCAAAGGCCAAAGATTGCTGCTGGAAGCTTCTGAGCCTTTGAAGAAGGCCAAAAAGTAGAAAAGCAGTTGACGCCATCAAAGCTCTTCCAAAGCAAAGTTTGGAAAAGGAAAAAATGTTCTTTGTTTGCTCAGCTGCAGGCAAATCAAAAGCAAAGCTTGACAAGGCTGGTTGTAAGGATACTTATAGCTATAAAAAGCTCAGAGGCAAAGCTATAGAAGGCTTGTTTCAAAGGATGCTTAATTGTAACAAGCTCAAAAGCAAAGCTATAGAAGGCTTGTTGGAAGGACCCAGCCTTGACAGTTTTCCAAGGTATCTTTGTTGCCATGGTTTCTTCAAGGACTGACCCCTGGCTTAAGCTGAACTGTTTGCTTTGCTTGCCATGGTGGTGACCATCCATGAGAGAGTGGCATTGGTCAGGGATGGTTACCAAGCACAATCCCTGCCTGCCAATTTGCTGGTGACCACTGAAAGTGGCAAGAAGTTTGTGAAGATCCAGCCTTCTCCACCAACCATTGTGAAACTCTGCTGTGCCAACTCTGAAGACCTTTTGGAAATGTATTCCAAATGCAAGAATCCCAGCCTGTCTTCTTCTGGGAAATTGAAAGAATTGAAAGAGCTGCTGGAGACAGAAGTGAAGAAGCATGTGTTGGAAACAAAAGGTGGACAGGATGAGGCTGCTGAGAAGATGTGGGGTGAGAAGCAGGCAGCCAATGCAAGCAAAGTGGCAAAACCCAAGCTTCCCCAAGAGACACCAGAGCACTTGGACATTTATGTGAATGGCACTGCAATCACTTGTTTATTTCCTTCTTCATGGAAAAGTACTGAGCTGTGCGTCCTGCTGGATGGGGACATGTTGGAGGTTATCTTTCAGCATTTGTCTGCTGACTGTGAGGAAGTATTGACTAGTGTAGCCAAAAGAGCTTACACAAAGAGGAAGAATATATCTTCAGAGTAGCTGACTTGACTTGTGTTGAAACCAGTGGGGAAAAATGTGAAAGCTTTTCGATTAGCCATAGAAGGCTTTGTTTGTATAGCCATCAAAGGCTTGTCTACTAGGCTTTGTTTGTTTAGCCATCAAAGGCTTCTCTACTAGCCATAGAAGGCTTTGTTTGTATAGCCATCCAAGGCTTTTCCATTATAGCTCTAGAAAGCTTCTGTTTGACTTTAGACATGTCTAGTGTGTAAATCAAGTGATTTCACACATTGTCTTTGCTTATTGCTCAAATGTATAGAACTCTGTGTTCCTTGCTGGCACTGCTTGGCAAAGCTTTGGGCCATGGCAGACAATGATGACCAATTTTGGATTACCTGGGCAAAGGAGGAGGAGGAGAAGTGGAAGCTCAGGCAGGATGTGGCAGCAGTAATAGCAAAGAGGAAGAGGGAAGCCAGGGAATTGCAAGCTGGAAAGACTGAGGGGAAGGAGGTTAAGAAAGAGGAGGAGAATGTTCAGAAAACACATGAGGATTGACCATGTGGGTACACCTTTTGTTCAAATGAATAACTAAAAACAGTATATATATATATAGAAATAACTTATTATGATGGATGGGTATGTTGTGGCTTTATTCTGCAGGACTCTGATGACACAGAACCTCCTTCAGCAGCAGCTGTGCCTGGTGATACTGATGACACCAAGCCTGAGGTTGCATCCAACCCAAAAGAACCTGAAGCTCCTCTTCTGGCTGGCTTGGGGCAGAAGGTGAATGTGTCTGTGACGGTACCTGTGAAACAGGATGGGTTCTCATAAAAGGCAAGTTTTTGCATTTGTGTTCATTGAACCACTGCTATAGCAGTACTATTTGTTGCTAAGCATTTCTACTACCACAAAGATTATTGCTATATACTATTGTAATTACTATATACTATTGGCAACAGGTTTCTATACTATTAGTATTATTGCTATTATTACTGTTACTACTACAACTATTACTACTACGACGACGACTACTACTACTACTACTACTTTGTAAGTGTCATGGGTTATGTGCAGGAGCCTGAGCCACTGCCTAAGAAGAAGAGGCTGATGCAATCCAAGGAGGAGGTGACTAAAAAAGATTATTTGCTCGCAGAAACTCTGCTGCAAGCTGCTGTCAGCCAGGTGCCTTGGCTTATTTAATGCAGGGATCCATATATATATATATAAACATATGTTTGTATTTTCAATCGGTTTTTGTGGCAATCCCAGGCTGATCGATGACCAGAATTATGCAGCCACCTTTGAAAGCATGATTGACAAGAATTCTGGACCTGCCTCTGCAAGCAATGTGTCTTGGAGATATTTGCATTGTTTTGTGATTTCCATCATAGTTTGGCATTAGCTTCTTTGTGTAGTGCAAACAATGTATCAATTATCATGTTGCATGCTCTAGTAGTCAGGAGCCAGCACCATGGAGAAAAGATGAATCAATGAAGGCACCTGAGCCAGCAGAACCTCCTTCTTCATATTGGCATTGTTTTGTGATTTACATAAGATTTTGGCATTTTTGTGTAGTGCAAAAAAATGTATCAATTATCAAGTTGCATGCTCTAGTAGTCAGGAGCCAAAGCCATGGACAAGGGATGGATCAACGAGGCCACCTGAGCCAGCAAACCCTCCTTCTTCAGCAACTGCAGTGCCACCTGTACTGATGGCTACTCCTATGATGCCTGGATGGAAAGGTGGTGGCAAGGGGAAACCTCACAATGTCCATGGCTTTCATTGGAAGGACTCTGAAGGAGGCTGGCATTGGTACCAACCTGTAACTTGGATGAATTGCAAAGTTTTACATTTGATAAATGTATGTATATATTTATATATGTATATATACATATATTTATGAACTAAGTTCAATCCAACTGATAATTTCAGGCTGAGAAGTTACGCACTGGGAATTTCAACAAGCTGGTTCTCCTAGTGGCTCTGTGGCGGTCTGGTCAAGTGAAAGTCTTGCAAGATGAGTTGGATAGGCTGACTTCAATTTGGCCAATTCAGCAGCCAGTAGAGCTGCTTGTACAGCAGATTGCTGAAAATGGAATTGAAGCCATCTTTGAGCAGGGCTATGTTTCCCGAAGGTTTCACCAGTGAGCCTCTGGAGCAGAAGTGGTAATGAAAAAAACATGTGGAAGTTGTAGGGAGTCTGCAAGCCATCAAAGGCTCAGCCATCACAGGCTTTATATGTAGCCATCATAGGCTCAGCCATCACAGGCTTGTTATATAGCCATCAAAGGCTCAGATATAGCCATTTGAGGCTAACTCATAGCCATCAAAGGCCAACACATTGCAAATTAAGTTTTTACTTAGTTGTTATACAATCATACATAACTATTTAAACATTGTCTAGATATAAAAGATACAATTTGTAAGCTTAATAAAATCTAAAACATACATTATATTTTTTTTTATTTATTCTAGCAAACTATACAATTATATATAATAAAATATATTTGTTTTTTAAAAAATATATTGTTTATATTTATATATTAAAATTAATTATATATCTTTTGTTGAAAATGAATTTATTTTTTCAAAATATACATTTGATTTCAACATATAAAAGAACATTAAGACATATTCAATTTGATTTCAATATTTGAAATCAAATATTAAAATTTTAAATTTGATTTCAGCCTCTGAAATCAAAAATTAAAATTCTAATTTTGATTTCAGCCTCTGAAATCAATATTTAAATTTTCAATTTTGATTTCAGCCTCTGAAATCAAAATTTAAATGTTTAATTTTGATTTCAGCCTCTGAAAAAAATTATTTTTTAAAATTTTAAAATAAACTTCTGAAGTCAAAGTTTGTAAATTTCAAATTTGATGTTAACCTTTGAAATCAAATCAAAATTTGAAAAATATTTTAAATATACAAAAAACTTTGTATATTGAAAATATAGTAAATTTATTTTTAATTTTTTTAAATACATAATATATTTATGTTATATCAAGATCAATATAGATTTGATATGTTGCAGCCATTTTGAAGATCAATTTGATGAGTGCCTGAGCTATGTCCTTTGCATCTGTTGCCAATGACTACATCATTGATGTCCACACTGCCAATGGCTGGACATGTGTGTTGTGGGACTCTGGATATGAGAGTTGGAGTCTAGCTTGCAGTTTTGGTTTGTTTTGCTTGTACTTGTTGGAACAAGAAGTTTTTTTTTGTGGCCATGACATCTCAGGATTCCTTTTCTGGGTCATGATTTGAAAGTGAGGAAGACTGAATGGGTTGAGTACAACAATATATGGTATCGAGTTGCAACATATAGAGGTGGCTGGCAATTCTGGTGCCTTGGATTTTATTTGGTGAGTCGTTGGTTTTTGTGTGGTGATTTTATTCAATAGTGATTTAGACCTTTGTTTATGTTGTAAGGATGAGGAAGAAAGAGCTTGAGTACTTGCTGTACAAAGGCATTGGTCCAATATGTCGTATTATGTTCAAACCTTTCTGACCACAGGCAGTGGCATAGAAATCTGACCACAGGCAGTGGCATATAAAAAATATAAATGAAATGCTTAAGTAGCCATGGAAGGCTTGAATAGCCATCAAAGGCTCTAGCAATAAGATGCTTAAATAGCCATGAAAGGCTTGAATAGCCATCAAAGGCTTTTTCTAGCTCTAAGAGGCTTAAGTGGCCATGAAAGGCTTGAATACAAATCAAATGTTTTAGCCCTAGTAGACATGCATGAACAAAGCATTGCAAGTACAATAGCCATCTAAGGCTATCCACTTGCTACAAAAATCATGTTTGATACCAAGTAAAACATACGCTTTTCGTAATTTCACAAGGTATGTGGATGTCTCTGGAAGCCTTTTGGCTTCAAGGCCTTCCTCACTTTGTTTCACTGAGATCTGTTTGTCAACTCCTTAGAGTGAAGCCATGCCTGTAAGATGGAACATTGATGACTTGAAGGGTGAACTGACTTCCATGGCTACTTTGCTGGAGAGAAGAGGCAAAACCACACAGATGTCAATGGCCTTGGCCAAACAATTCTGTAGCAAGCTTGAAGCAGCTGCCTCTGAGTTGTGTGCTGCTGCCCTTTTGAGTCTCTCTGACCACCTTGCTGAGACCAACTTGCCTGAGGATTGTGTAGACCAGATCACCCAGACCTTGGACAATGTCTGCGTGATGGATGGTAGTGGCCAGTCAGCTCTGAAACTGACTACCAAAGCTCAGACATGTGATCACTTGGAGAACTTCTTGACAGGCAAGGACTGGACAGCTTTGGAGACTGAAGGTCTTTGGCCTGGAGTCCATGTCCTGGTGAAAAGATTGAGACTGATTGGCATTACCTCTCTCAAGGAATGTGTCAAGAAGATTAGTTTGGGTATCTTGGTGCTGATGGAGCTCCAGAGATCAGGAGGTAGGATGCCCAAGTACATAGAAATTTACAACTTGGGTACACACTTCAGCCAAGCTTTCAATGCCAGCAGTGTGGTGGCACCCAAAGGAGTCAGACCTCTGCTGAACTACCCTGCCTGCCCACAAATGATCTCTCAAGACTTCATTGACTTGGCCTATAGCCATGATGATCCCCCTGTGGACAAGGTTTTGGAAGACCTCAACTATTTGATCCTGAACCACATTCCAGTGAGGTCTACCAGCAAGCTACTCAAAGATGAGGCTGAAACTGAACAGAGGGCTGCTTCTGGAAGGCACCCTGTCAAGTCTTCCAAGCTGAAGGCCCCCAGTGTGTGCAGCAAAGAAGAGCAGGCAGCCTACCACTTGCATGAAGCCCAGAAATTAATGGCTTTGAAGGATGTTGATGAGCACCCAAAGAGCACTGACTCTGACAACTTTAAAGTGCAGAGGGAAAGAGCAGTGCTGTTCAGACCACCTTCTTTCTCCAAAAGGTTGGAGCAGGCAGCCTTGCTTGTCACTGCTCAGCTAGCCCTGCCTGCTTCTGCTCCAGTAGAGTTCCTTGCTATATCTTTATATGTTTTTTTGGTAGAGAAGGAAAGCTTCAAAACAAATGAGTTTTTAACAGAAAGGTTTTTATCCTTTACATTCATGCATTGAGGCCCAAGACTGCTGAAGCCCCTGCTGCCCAAACTGTGCCTGAAGAAGCTACAGCACCCAGTGTGGACCCAGCCAAGCAGGCAAAGGACAAAGCAGCAGTTCAGCCTGCAGATGCTAAAAGCATTGAAGAGTTGGAAGAAGAGAACTTCAGAAGATTGACAGCCAAAAAAGAGACCATGCCCAAAGAAGGAAGCCAAGCAGAAGGATCAGCAGGCACCTAAAAAGACCAACATGAAGGAGAAACCCAACAACAGCAAAAAGGTCCAAGAAGGCCCCTGGTGCTGCTGGCATGATCCTGGGTTGTGGACAGTGTCGTGGTGCACCCAATGGCTGCAAACAGTGTCAGGACCCTTGCTACAATGGTGTCAGAATTCCTGGAAAGCAGGCCTGGAAAGACCACATGGCAAAGAAGGAGAAGGAGAAGGCCAAGTTGAAGCCCAAGAAGAAGTGAAGTGTTGAGTTCTCAAGCTGTGTTGGAGGTAGGCAAAGGCTTTGTTGGCTATTGCTTTTTTCACAACTTGCTTCACAGAAATTTGTTTAGTTGGTAGAAAGATACACCGGCCACGCCAGAACCATTCCACAAAGAAAACAAGTGCGTGCGAATGCCAGAAATGGCATGTCAGATTTGATAGAAATGCAATGGCCAACAAAGCCTTTGCCTACCCCTAACACAAACCATGACAGGCTCATGTAGCCTTAACAGGCTTACATTAATATATATAGATAGATAGATAGCCATGACAGTCTCATGGAGCCATGGCAGGCTTTTGTTTGTCATGGCATAGTTTCATATAGCCATCTTAGGCTCATAGCCAGGACAGACCCACAAAAAGTCATGACATGCTCATAGGCTCATGTATAGCCATGACAGGCTCAAACAGTCACGACAGGCTCTTAGCCATGACAGGCTCATATAATCATTATAGGCTCACAGCCATGAAAGGGTTTCTTCCATGAATGGCTGGTTCTTATAAGAGTTAATATAAGAGTTAATTATGGTTATAGTTAGAAAACATTTTTGGCTTAGCCATGTGCTGCCTGCATGGGAAGATGTCAAATGGCATAAAGACAAAGATGTGGCTTGTTGGCAGAGATGGACAGCAAAAGGCTTTTCCACCCATATGTCTCTCAATCAGCCTTGGCTGGTGTGATTGGCCATATTAAAATTCATGGCATTCCAGAAGCTGCCAGTAGACCTCAATTCAGCAGGGCTACTCAGGCTTTGCTGTCTGCTGAATATCCTTATGGGCAATTGAAATGTATGATGGATTTGGAGGCCACTGATGGTGCCACCATTCAACTGCCTGTTTTGAACTTGAAGAGCTACATGGCAGCTTTGTTTGATGAGAGTCCTTCCTATTCATCTTTGCTGCTGAGAACCAAGAGGAGCACTCTGGAACATCCTTGGGGGTTGGTGATGTACATGGATGAAATCACTCCTGGAAATGTCCTTTCTGGAAGGTTGACCAGAAAGTCTTGGTGCATCTATGGCACAATGCTTGATTTCACTTTGGATGATTTGTCTCATGAGCTAGCTTGGATGCCTTTGGCTCACATTAGATCTACAGTTGTGGACAAGCTCAAAGGAGGAGTTAGTCAACTTTTTGCAGCTGTTCTGAAATCAATCTTCCTTGATGGGCAATGTGACCCCAGATTGGGTCTTTTGTTGCCTAGAACTTCTGGTGATTCCTTGAAGATTTATTTTGATTTGAAAACAATTTTGCAAGATGGAGGTAGTCGCAAATTCTGCTGGTCTTACAAGGGTGATGCAGCTTTGAGGCCTTGCCTTTTGTGTAATATACACACTGACACTGGGGAAGATGCCATGGAGGATGAAGAGGTGAATTTGACAACTTGTTTGAAGTACAGTGATTTGAGAATATTCACATCAGATGACATTTTGTCTTCATTTGATAGACTGGATGCCAAAAGGTTGGAAATGACCAAAGTCGACTTTGACAATTGGCAGAAAGCTGTGGGAAAGACCTGGCAGCCCAAGATTTTGCCTTTGGACCCAGACGTTCGATCCAATACACTCTTGGCACCAGCTTCCCAGTATGCACATGACTGGATGCATTGCTGTTTGTCAAATGGTACATTTGCAGTGGCTTCCTATCAGCACTTCAATGCCTTGGACACTTCAGCTTGGGAAACTTTTGGTGAATATCTGGGACATTGGTTTTGGCCAACACACTTGGGCATGAAACATTTGCCAGAACTTTTCCAAGCCAAGAAGATCAAGAAATACAAGACAAACAAAAGGTTCAACCCTGGTGCAAGTGAAGCCCTCAGTCTCCTGCCCATTTTGGTCTTTTGGTGTAGGAAGGTGCTATTGCCAAGCAATTTTGCTCCTCGTCCAGTTCAAGCTTTCTTGGCAGTTGCAGAAGTGATCTTCATTTTGCATGAGGGGCAGCTCTGGGGTATGGCTGCAAGAGATTCTTTGCAAAAGGCTGTGGAGCACAGCCTTCAGCTTGCACATGAATGTGGCTGGTATGTCATACCTAAATTCCATTGGCTTCTGCACATGTGTGACCAATTGGAAAGATGGCAGAAACTTCCCAGCTGCTTCACCCCTGAGAGAAAAAACAAAATTTTGAAGAAGTATGCAAGTGCCATACAAAACACATCAGGTTTTGAAAATTCTGTGTTCAATGAAATTGTTTCTGAAGAAATGGCTAAACTAAAGAGCCAAAATGTATTCCAGCAGGCCCCTTATTTGGTGAAGCCACACAAGGCTCCCAAGAAGTTGGCTTCTTTTTTTGCTGAAACTTTGGAATGCTCTCCTGAGGATGTTTGCACAAGTGTGGAAGCCAAGCTTCCTGTTGGTAGATGCTCCAAAGGAGACATTGTTCTTCTGGAGAGCTTGGACAAAAGTTCTCCCAAAGCTGCAGAACTCTGGGCCATGGCACAAATTGGAAACAATATTTATGTGCTTGTTCAATATTTGGCCCTTGTGGAGATGTCCATGACTACTTGCTCTGCCACATGGCAAGGTTCCAGCCAAACTGACCTGCTTGGCATTGAGTTGGTGGTGACCCCTTTAATATATTGCAAGCTGAGCCAAGGGAGATTTAGAACCTTGATGCCTTGGCATTGGAATAAATAGATTCATTGCTGTGAAGCACACATGCTGCATTCAGGTGTCCCAAAAAAGTTCTTGGTCATAGAAGGCTTGGTTTGTATAGCCATCAATGGCTTTTTAACTAGCCATCGAAGGCTTTGTTGGTAACAGCTTTGGTTTTAAGTCAAGCCTTCAAAAGGCTTTGCCAGCAAGCTGCAGCTATCAAAGACTTTTAATGGCCTTACGGAGGCAAAAGTCTGGATTGAAAAGCCTTAAGAGGCTAGTTTTGCAAAGCTTTTTTGGAAATTCAGCTTTTGGAAAGCTTTGCTTGTGTTCACTATATCAGGCTAATGTTGCACAAGCTTTGTTGAAGGTGAGCTTGTTGTAAACAAGCCTTGTTAATAGTATGGTCATGAAAATTTGTTTTTTTGCTGCTGATGTGATTGGTTACATGTACAGCTACCTGCATTTTTTTTGTGTTTCACCTGGCCATGTCAATTTTCCCACCATCTTTTTCACAAAAAATGTAAATGCATATTTCACCAGCATGTACTTGCAGGGAAGTGAAATAATAAAATAAATTGGCGACAAATAAAGAAACACATATATTATTTTTTCATGTTTTAACATAAGTTAAATAGTTAGCTAACTTTTAGCTAACTAGTTAGCTAACTCCCAGGCTAACTATGTTAATTCCTTAGCATGGAATTAGCAACTTTAAGCTAATTATGTTAATCATGTTAAAGGGTTAACAACACCGAGATCATCCAAGTACTACTCCACGAACCGTTCTCGCTCCGATGCTCCGTTACTCCGCTCCGATAGAACAACAACAAGAAAAGCAACTAGAACAACGAGACGAACCTCCACGAATCGTTCTCACTCCGATGCTCCGTTGCTCCCCTCCGATCCGTAACAACAACAATAACAATAACAAGAAAAACCAGAACACAAACAATTACAAGAACAAATACAATAACAGGCGCAAGATCAACAACAAGAGCAAGAACAAGAACAAGAACAATATCAACAATTACAAGCACAAGATCAACAACGAGAACAAGAACAACAAGAACAGCAACAATAACAAGCGCAAGATCAGCAACAAGAACAGTAACAATCACAAGCACAAGATCAACAACAAGAACGATAACAACAACATCAACAGCAACAACAACAAGAACAACAACAACAACAAGAACAATAACAAGCACAAGCGCAAGATCAAAAACAAGAACTAGAACTAGAACAACAAAAAGAACAATAACAAGCACAAGATCAAGAACAACAACAGGAACAACAACAACAACAATTAGCCCAGCTGGAGACCCCAATAGCAAGATACAAACCGGGACAAAAAGAAAAATCTGGAAACAGCTGCTGTTTTCAACACATCGACCATCTCTTCCTTGGACACCATCATCACATAACCGGGACACCATCACAAAATGACCAGGGCACCATCAAAACATGACCGAGACACCGTCACAACATGACTGGGACACAATCAAAACATGATCGGGACACCATCACAACATGACCGCGCCACCATCACATGATCGGGACACCATCAAAACATGACCGGGACACCACCACAACACGACCGGGACACCATCAAAACATGACCGGGACACCATCACAACATGACCGGGACACCATCACATGACCGGGACACCATCAAAACATGACCGGGACACCATCACAACATGACCGGGACACCATCAAAACATGACCGGGACACCATCAAAACAGGACCGGGAAACCATCACAACATGACTGGGTCACAATCAAAACATGATCGGGACACCATCAAAACATGACCGGGACACCAGCATCACATGACCCGCACGCCATCAAAACATGACCGGGACACCATCCGCCCACCAGCTCTGACGGTGACCCGGCGGCGCCCGTCCGCCTATTAGTTTTGCAAGACCCCATAGCATGGCTATTGGGGAGCAACAAGCACAAGACCAACAACAAGAGCAATCACAACAAAAATAACAAGCACAAGGTCAACAACAAGAACAAGAACAAGAACAACACCAACAAGAACAATAGCAAGCACAAGCACAAGATCAACAACAAGAACAAGAACAAATGCAACATCAACAACAAGAATAAGAACAAACGCAAGAACAACATTAACAACAGCAGCAA